AACTAAATACCCGGTTACCGTGTTCTTAGATAATGAGAGGCGCCCGGTTGCCGGTTACCGTGTTACTGTATGTAGATATTGAGGCTACTCGCCCGGTAACCGTAGTGTATGTGACATTGAGTTTGAGACTTCACACCCGGTTGCCGGTTACTGTGTACGTAGACCCTGAGACTACGTGCCCGGTTACCGTGTACGTAGACCCTGAGGCTACGTGCCCAGTTTTACCGTGTACGTAGTCGTAGACACTCCGAAAAGGAAAAGTAGGCTAGATCTAGATCTATACTTCTATTAAAATATAATAGAAATCTATAAATTTTGACTATTATTTATGTTTCTTTGTTTTTACACAGAACCATGATGAGAGGAGATCTTAGAAGTAAAAAAAACACAATTTTATGGGGGAAAAAATTGTTGGTCAGTCGGGGGAGGAGAGAGAATCTAAGAAGGAAAAGATTGCCGATTCAATTTGAATAAACAAAAGAGCCGACACTTGGGGGTACCATTACCTTTGCAGTCACCTAATGAGAACTGATGTTTGCCCAATGCCATCATCTGTCAGATCAGAACTCGGAAATTTTATCACTGTGATGTTGAATACATGTAATATCTATAGAGGCCCTTTTTCTAAAATGCTGAAACACAAGGCAGGCAGATCTAACTTTCGCTTTTAGAACTCAAGGCTCAAATCAAAGGGACGTAAATCGCTCGAACGAAACCCTCAAGACTTCCGCCCACAGAATTCTGTGCTTCCGCCTCACTTTTCGAGCCAACCAAGACCGAATCCAACCCAAGACAGAATAAGACGACTTATTCCGTCTTGGATGCAGCCGAATCAACGGGGATTGCCTGTCGCTATTTTTAGAACCAGAGAAAGTAAGTTGGTACTTCCGGTAGGCTACTTGCTCCTCTGCAACTGTGAAAAAATAAACAATTGTGATAAAATCACAATATTTACGAAAATATGGTTACATTAATGTGAGGGATTGATATGTTCTCTATGAATGGGAAAATAGTTCTTTCTGTGTGATACAACCGTAGTCCAGGGAAGCATGGCATCGAATTCTTTTATGGAAAGGCTTCGCACCTTTCATCCCCCTCTACCAACAAACTTCACTTCACTCTCAAACTCCTACTACACTCCAATGAAGTTTGCAGAAGCCGGCTGGCAGTGGGAGCGCGAAGACAATGTCCTTTCCTTGTCAGATGAACTAGTATGTCGCTCTTGTAGTGTAAGGCACAGTGGATGGTCAGGGGAGTCTCCCTTTGCTGCCCACCGGACGAAAAGTCCCAACTGTCATTTTCTTAATACAGCACCAAACCCGACCAGCATCCAATCTCCTTTTGTTGACGGAGAAGCCACCTCTTCATCCCCTTTAATTCTAATGAATGAGATGAATGAAGGTGCAAATATACAGGAACTGGAAACAATATCATCCATCTGTAACTCATGTGTTTCTAGCGATGCAGAAACTTTGAGAAGAAAGTTATTCTTGAGTAGGCTGAACTATGATCATCACTCTCAGTCTCGGACATCATGCAGACGCCAACTTATCGTTCACCCTCTCAAACCTCTTTCTGGTGGGTATCCCATGTTGTTTGAAAGTCTTCGACTGACTACTTACAGTTCACCAAGCTCAGTTGAGGCTGCAAAATGGTCAAGAGATGGCTTCATCATGATTTCTAACCTCCGAGCCCTATGTGTTTTCTGTGGACTCCAGTTGGAGTTTGACGTGTGTGTTGACATTGGACATGTGCACAAGGAAAAGTCACCTGAGTGTCCTTTTGTGTGCCACTTTGATGTGGGAAATATTTCTAGTGAAGTGCAAAGGAGTATTCTGGAGAAAGAGCGTTCAAAGCATTTTGTGGACTTTAGTGAGCGGGATTCTTCCGTGGTAAAAGAGTACAGTATCATGTACCCAGAGTTTGAGAGTGCAACAGACAGATCTGGTACCTTTAATTTGTGGCCAAAGCTTCAGAGAGCAATGTTTCCTCCTGTTGTTATGGCTGATGCAGGTTTTTACTATACAGGTGGGTTTTTGAAGTAGGGCCTACAGTTGCCTTTTTTTTCTTAGAAATTTTAGCTTTTCAGGTTTTATTTTAGCATCACATAAATATGATTATGATCAGAATTTTTCCAGCTGTTGCAAGCAGCAAGTTGATCCAACATCATCATATTTTGAGTTTTTTAAAATAAATTCTGTGAGAAGTCATTTTATAATAGTCTATTTTCCATCTAACAAGAAGATCAAAGTTGTTTCTTGTACCTAACTTTCTAAAATGAACAATGTTTAAAAATCTTAAAATATTGTCTCTTTAAGATCTAAATTGTGAGCCACATTGTAAAACTCTGGCTATTTTGAAGAGAAAAAATCACCTGATGAACAATTTTAATTGATTGTTTTTTAAAAGTTTGTTAACATTACAAATAATAGGTTCCTTTCGTAACACAGATTTTCAGTGCAACAACACTCTTTCAAATATGAGCATTTGCCAAAAGGTGGGATACCTGGGTGTGACAAATGAGGTCCAAAATCAACTTTATTAATAATTCTTTAATCACCCATATAATATCTATATAGCCTAATGATTGCTCTTTCAGGCTCAGTAACTGCCAAAGCTGTATATGCAATGGTCTTGGTGTAATTCTGACTTGAATGACGGAAATAGCAAAAAGTTCGTTCATAACAATGATGACACAAATTTATGAATACTCAAAGTTCCTTTCTTCAGCTAGGCTGATGATGTTATATTTTGAGAACATAGCAAATAACTTCCAAAAATACATAGAATTGACAATTTATAAAAATCTTTATTAATTTTTGATAAAATTACTTTTTTGTGTCATAATAGTTATGAACGAACAATAAGTGACCAAAATACTATTAAAAAATTATCAAGTTTCATCGACTAGAATTGTCTAAAATAACACTCTGGTCTAATTATAGTCAAGTGATAAATGAAAGACCATTTTAACAGCTATTTTTAAACGCAAACTGGTCTTAGGGCATATATTATGCATCAATTTAAAGTTCGTTCATAACCATTATGACACACTGTTTCGTTCATAACTATTATGACAAATTTTACTTTTTTTTGGCCCCTAAAATTTACTTAATATTGTTCTGTCTTTCACATAAAACGGTTTTCATTTATGAGGCTTTCCTTAAAATATGATAGATTCCTCTATGTAGGGAGAATTCAAAGTTTATTTCTTGAAAAACCCTTAGAATACACCTTTAAAATGGTTCGTTCATAACAATTATGACAAACTTCAATTTTGACCTAAAAATTTACTCATTTTGATCTGTCATTCATTTTTTAAAACTTTTATTAAATGAAACTCTCCTCATAATATGTATCTCTGTACATGTTTTTAAAGTTTGTTAACACTGAAAAGTCCTCAAAATATATAAAATGGACTATAAATAGTTCGTTCATAACCATTACTACAAAAGTATAATACTAATTAAAATCCACACCCATACACTTATGATAAAAATCAAAATATCAGAATGTATGCAAGGTCTATTCTGTCCTTTAGTTGGGTTAAAATTAAAAATACATCCCAAAACAACTGTAAATTACATGGAATAAAGTTTCGTTCATAACCGTATGACACACTGTTTCGTTCATAACTCTATTGACAAATTTTACTTTGGGCCCAAAAAATTAACTTTTGTTCTGTCATTCACATACAATTGTTTTAATTTATGAGACTCTCCTAAAAATAAGGTTATATATATATGTTGGAAGAATTCAAAGTTTAATCACTAAAAAACCCTTAAAATACCTTTAATTGTTCGTTCATAACTATTATGACAAACTTCAGTTTTGACCTAAAAATTAATATTTTGACCTGTCATTTACTTAAAAATTTTATATTAAATGAAAGTTTCATCATAATATGTATCTGTGTGCATGTTTTTTATGTTTATCAACTCTGGAAAGCCCTCAGAGTACAATATATATATATATATATATGTAGTTCGTTCATAACCATTACTACAAAAGTAAAATACTAATTAAAATCCAGACCCATACACTTATGATAAAAATCAAAATATCAGAATATAAGCAACGTCTAATACATCCTTAAGTTGGGTTAAAATTAAAAATACATCCCAAAACAACTGTAAATTACATGGAATAAGGTTTCGTTCATAATATAACCATTATGACACACTGTCACGTTCATAACATGATGACAATCCATTATGACAAGCATATTTTTGCTTCTTCTTCGCTTCTCTTTTGAGTCATCAGCACACTACTCTTCCATGTTCATTCCACCATGTAAAAGGATGTTGTGAAACAGTGGGAAGTCCCTCACATGATATTTTGCAGAAATATCATAAAGTGTTTGTTCATTTAATATAACATCATTATGACAAACCTGGATTATCTAATCAAAGTCATATTTAAGCAAAACCATACGATGGAGCGGAAAATTACCCTTCTGGTGGATCAATGTCAAACCAATGTTTAATACCGGTCATTCCCCGGGATGATATGTTTAACGATTTGGGTTTTCTAGACCTTGGAAAGTCTGATGATGTAATTATGACACGAGTTATGAACGAACTTATAAATTTTACTCAGCAATAACATCATTAATATAAATAAATAAAACCCTTTTAATGGACACACGCTGTTATGATGGTGTGTACAAACTATTTTCAATGTTTGAATGCACTTCTGTTTGATCTATAGTTTAAGATTAACAATATTCTGTATTTAACATACAATTATGTGTGCACTCAGGATGAGTAAAAAATGCCCTATTTTTAGTACTATTATCTTTCTATGTAGAGATATAAGATGCACACATCAATCTACTTGCTCATGCAGCTTGACCAACTTATTTCCTTGCCATATGCGTAAAGTTTTCAGAAGAAAACATATTTTACCATGAGTAGTGGTTGATTTAAAAAGTCCTTAAGCAAACACCCCCACCTTTTGGCAAAAGCTCATATATAATATTATATAATATATTATAATATTATATATACAGTCGAACCTGCCCTGACGGCTCTATAAGACGGTCACCTGTACAAACGGCCACTTTCCATTTCCTACCTTGTGTTTTTCCTATAATTTAACTGTGTAAAACGGGCACCTGTCCAATGCGGCCGCGGCCACCATATTTTAACACACAACCCCTATCACACTTAAGCAATAACACCTGTCCTATACGGCCACCTTAGTGACTCCATTATGTTTTGTTATAAATTGTGCATTGGCCCCTGGCGTTGTGGGCGAGCCGTCATAATCCATTTACTTTGTTGGAGTAATCCAATTACTTCCAACCAATCATGCTGCGTAGGCCCCTTCCACTGTTGACCAATAGATTCAATGTTCAGCTGCTGGTGAGGTAAGCGTGTGATCCCTCATAACCCATAAAAGCCCCGCCCAGAACTCATACACAAATTGTTAGTGAGATGAGTTGTCACTGTTTACCCAGGCTGTAACAAAGTAACAATGGATGTCAACATGAACTTGCGACAGAAGCGTCGCTCGTTCTCCGAGTGGTGGCAACCCATGTGTTTGTTTTAACATAGCACTCGGTCTTCCTCGTCTGATACATTTCGTTTTATTGTCACCCTTGCACAAAATCAGCAACAAAATAAAAATAACAAACAAAATACAAACCAACAACACCACCAACAACAAAAACAATGTATGTAACAACAATGTGGCTACTTTCGATTGGAACTTCAGATGGGAATGGTTTACAAATTTTCTTCATCTTGATCAGTCCTGCCTAAGACGGCCACCTGTCTTATACGGCCACTTTTCTCCATGACAATGGGTGGCCATCTTACACAGGTTCGACTGTATTTCAATATATAAGCAAGTCTCAAAATTTGGTCCCGAAAGTGTCACAAAAAAAGATTAATTTTGAAATATAACTATCTGAACCAAAAGCAATCTCATTTCCTCAACGGTTAGCTGAAGTTTCAATACTAATTTGAATTTTTTTTAAAGTCTGACCGTTTTTTTGGAATTATATTTGATTTTCTGGCAAAGTTCACTTTATTGAATGGACATGATGATAACACAATAAAGTGTACACTGTAATTTGCAAGTTTCAATAAGATTTTGTCTAAAATTCATCAGGATAATAATAAATGGGCAAATCAAGGCAAAAAACATCAATTCGAAATAGACCAACTGTTCCAAAATTATCTGTCAGATTTCCACTTTGATTACTCTCTTACATCACCGTAATATTTAATGAGCCTTTGCCAAAAGGTGGGGGTGTTTGCATGAGGACTTTTTTAATCAACCACTACTCATGGAAAAATATGTTTTCTACTTAAAACTTTATGTATCAAGGAAATAAGTTGGTCAAGCTGCATGAGCAATAGATTGATGTGTGCATCTTATATCTCTTCATAGAAACATAATAGTACTAAAAATAGGGCATTTTTTACTCAACCTGAGAGCTCAGTTATTGTATATATATGTTAAATACAGAATATTGTTTAATCATAAACTATCAAACAGTAAGTAGTGCATTCAAACATTGAAAATATTTAGCATACACCATCATAACTTTGTGTGTCCATTAGAAGAGTTTTATTTTTATATGAATGAATGATGTTATTGCTTAGTAAAATTTATAAGTTCGTTCATAACTCGTGTCATAATTACATCATCAGACTTTCCAAGGTCTAGAAAACCCAAATCATTAAACATATCATCCCCAAGAATGACCAGTATCAAACATTGGTTTGACATTGATCCATCAGAAGGGTAATTTTCCGCTCCATCGCATGGTTTTGCTTAAATATGACTTTGATGGAGATAATCCAGGTTTGTCATTATAATGATGTTTATGAACAAGAAACACTTTATGATATTTCTGCAAAATATCATGTGAGGGACTTCCCACTGTTTCACAACATCCTTTTACATGGTGGTATAAACATGGAAGAGTTGCGTGCTCATGACTCAAAAGAGAAGCGAAGAAGAGGCAAAAATATGCTTGTCATAATGGATTGTCATCATGTTTTGAATGTGACCATGTGTTATAATGTGGTTATAATGAACGAAACCGTATTCCATGTAATATGTAATTTACAGTTGTTTTGGGATGTATTTTTAATTTTAACTCTACTTAAGGATGTAAGACCTTGCTCACATTCTGATATTTTGATTTTTATCACAAGTGTATGGGTATATATATATATATGTATTTTAATCAGTATTTTTCTTTTGTAGTAAGTAATTGTTATGAACGAACAACATAATGTACTCTGAGGGCTTTCCAGTGTTGATAAACATTAAAAACATGTACACAGATACATATTATGAGGAAACTTTCATTGAATATAAATATTTTAAAGTAAATGACAGGTCAAAATATTAATTTTTAGGTCAAAACTGAAGTTTGTCATAATTGTATGAACGAACCATTAAAGATTCTAAGGGTTTTTCAGTGATTAAACTTTGAATTATTCCTACATATATATGCTTATTTTGAGGAGAGTCTCATAAATGAAAACAATTTTAGGTGAATGACAGAACAATAAGTTAATTTTTAGGGCGCAAAGTAAAATTTGTCATAACAGTTATGAATGAAACAGTGTGTCATAAATAATGGTTATGAACGAACTTTAAATTTATGCATAACATGCCCTATGACCAGTTTGCGTTTAAAAATAGCTGTTAATTCTTCCTACATATATATGTTTATTTTGAGGAGAGTCTCATAAATTAATCACAATTTTATGTGAATGACAGAACAATAAGTTAATTTTTGGGGCGCAAAGTAAAATTTGTCATACAGTTATGAACGAAACAGTGCGTCATAATGGTTATAATGAACGAAACCTTATTCCATGTAATTTACTGTTGTTTTGGGATGTATTTTTAATTTTAACCCAGCTAAAGGACGTAAGAGATCTTGCATACATTTTGATATTTTAATTTTTATTATAAGTGTATGGGTGTGGATTTTAATTAGTATTATACTTTTGTAGTAATGGTTATGAACGAACTATTTATTGTCCATTTAATATATTTTGAAGGCTTTTCAGTATTGATAAACATTAGAAACATGTACAGAGATACATATTATGAGGAGAGTCTCACTTAATAAGAGTTTTAAAAAATGAAACACAGATCAAAATTTATTAATTTTTAGGTCAAAATTGAAGTCTGTCATAATTGTTATGAACGAAACATTTTAAAGGTATTCTAAGGGTTTTTCAGTAAATAAACTTTGAATTCTTCCTACATAGAGGGATCTATCCTATTTTAAGGAGAGTCTCATACTTGAAAACCATTTTTGTGAAAGACTGAACAATAAGTTGATTTTTGGGGCCCAAAGTAAAATTTGTCTTAATAGTTATGAACAAAACAGTGTGTCATAATGGTTATGAACGAACTTTAAATTTATGCATAACTTGCCCAATGACCAGTTTGCGTTTAAAAATAGCTGTTAAAATGGTCTTTCATTTATCACTTGACTATAATTATACCAGAGTGTTATTTTAGACAATTCTAGTCAATGAAACTTGACATTATAATTGAAAGTTTTTTGGTCACTTATTGTTCGTTCATAAATATTATGACACAAAAAAGTAATTTTATCAAAAATTAATAAAGATTTTTATAAACTGTCAATTCTATGTATTTTTGGAAGTTGCTTGCTATGTCTCAAAGTATAACCTCAGCCTATCTGAAGAAAGGAACTTTGAGTATTCATAAATTTGTGTCATCATTGTTATGATCAAACTTTTTGCTATTTCTGTCATTCAAGTCAGAATTACACCAAGACCACTGAATATACAGCTTTGGCAGTTACTGAGCCTGAAAGAGCAATCATTAGGCTATATAATATGGATGATTAAAGAATTATTACATAAAGTTGATTTTGGACCTGATTTGTCACACCCAGGTATCCCACCTTTTGGCACATGCTTTAATATTATGTATAATGTAAATTTCTCTTTTTTTTGAGGACATTGATATTATATAATTATATGGAACTAGTCTAGTTGGTTCATTAGAACATGTGGTAGCAAAGCCGAGAAACAAAATACAGGTTCATGAACGGACATGATGAAATGACAGAAATTGCGATGAGAAAGTTTTTTTGCTAATGAGTGTCCCTATTCTGAGTCAAAACTACTCAACAAGTGTGTTTAATAACTCCTTTTGACTTGAAGTAATGCCCATTTTATTCTTCTCTTTAAAAGTCTTTTTTATTATCATTAAAAGTAGGCTTAGAAAAGATGAAAATGACGAGAAACATCATCATGTCCATTCACCAGAGTTGTCACCCTGTCTGGGGCTTTCTGCCCAACAGTTTATCATCAAAATGCGTGCTTTTCTTAAACACTCAACCTTCTACTACAGAAACAACATCCTGAGATGTTTAGCATTTTCCTCTCCTGTATAAAGTTTCACTTCATTAAAATTACGTCATCTCTTAATAATGTCACGTTTTGACCGCTCAAATTTTTGGTACTTTCTAACATTTTGTAATTTCAATAAATTTTTAGCCATTGGAACAAGAAAAGCTCTCTCAGACTACATCTTCATTCAAAGTACTTGATGATACACAGAAATTTGCGCATCATTCTGGCATATTCCCTGCTTCGACAATGAGATAAAAATATGCACTATTTAAACAACCAACTTTTGAGACTTAGTAAACAGCTACTAGAGGGAGGGGACAGGTACCAGAACCCCCCCCTCCTCCCCTTCTCAACAACCCACAACTTCCACCCTCTTTCTTTTTTGCCTGAAACTAGAGGTTTTGTTTATTTTTAGAAAATAGATAGAATACGCACATCTTTTAAAACAAAAAGACAATCCTTAACAGAATTTCTGAATACCCACTAAATGAACTCAACAAATGTTTCAGTGATTGTTGATACATATTGTTAACTGTACATTGCCAAAAAAAGACAAAATAGTAGGCCCCCACAAATGAATACAAACTCCTTGCTTTAGTTTCTGCATAAACTGTCTTCTCTGTTTCGTTTTCATTTTATATATCAGAACTCCTATACTACTACCTGAAACATGAGCTTGTGTGATGTTCTTAGGATTTTCATTGACAAAAAAAAAGGGGGATTAAGGAGAATTGTTACATTTTCCAACTTAGGAAAGAAAAGAAAATAATTATTATACTTTTAAAACATTTTTCCACCGTTTTTCCTTAGGTCACAATGACATGGTCTGTTGTTTTTCCTGTGGTGTTGAACTCTTTGACTGGATACCTGGTGCTGACCCCCTGACCCAGCATGCTTGTGCCTCTCCTGTTTGTTACTTCTTGCTGCACAGCAAAGGTCAAGAGTTCATCAATAATGCTCAACAACAAGAGGTATAGTGGTGTGATTATGTTTTTTCTGTTGTAATAAATATTGATTGTATGTCATAATGGTATTTCTATCAGTTTGCTAATTTTGTGAAATTTACCCTGGTCTCATTCTTTTTTTATGAAAAGATTTTTATAAAATATGTGACGTATGTTCTAAATATGTAACTTGAAGAAAAAGGTCTACTCTTTTTTTGTTCTAAAACAACATTGATCAATTTGCCCATCTTCAGTTTTATAAAAATGAGGAGTCAATAGTCATTATATATACATGTACAAATTTTAAAATACTATGAGCTAACTTTTGTGTCTTTTGTCATTGTTCAAACATGGCTAGGACATAATTTATAGCACTATGGGTAGTAGCTATTATTATATTTTTTAGTCACAAATTTTGAGAGAATGGTAACTTTTTTTCTTCTAGAGGGGCTGTAAACTTTAGAGCTTTTTCTCACAATTATTTCATTTTTTCTCGCTTTGTTGCAGCTTGTGGTTGGAGTAAACCAAGAAAGTCAAATAAAAGGTAAAATTTGGTCCTATGAGACATGTCACATCATCTTGTTTGTGTTGAACTTTATTTTAGATGCTGACATATATGTAATATAAATATGTTAATATGTCAGGATTTATAGGTTTCAATACTGTATAACTCCTCATTTGTTCATGACATTTTTATTTTATTTGTGTTTCGTTACAACTTAATTACTCAGTGACAGATTAATGCACACTCTGGTGTGCCTACAATTCTTATAATGACACATTTTTAAGTACAGTAGTGGATCGAAATTATTGGACAGTGTTTGTATAGTTTTGAAATTATGCTGGAGTATCTTTTTTCTTTTTCCTTTTTCTTTAAATGGAGGATCAATTTATTTTAAAGCGTGCCTTTTGTAAGAAGTTTTAAGCATTGTTTTAATCCTTGTAATAATGGTTATGGGCAAATCGACTGACTGTAACTTTAAAAAGAGACAATAAATCGATGCTCTGTCTTTTTATATAACGCCATGACTGTTGAAGAGATTTTTTCGTTATTCAATTGTTGTTCTTACTATTTAATTTTTCCTAGTAAGACTCATTTGTTTTGACTTTATTCGAGACTCTTTCACATCTCCAATTTTACTGAGTAATTTTAAGTTACCTTGTATTACCGATCAATGAGACATATAATTAGTTAACTCTTGTGTTATCTCTCTCAGGTCTTGAGGCAGCTACTTCATCCACCACACTGTCAACAGCAGCAGCAACATCATCATCATCATCATCATCGTCATCATCGTCATCATCTCCACAACCAACTGGACCCAGACCGTACCTGGACCTGGACTTGTTCTCCTCAGCTCGTGCACGTGGGTACAGCACAGAGCAAATCTCTGATGCCATCATCACCTTCTTTTACCTGACTTGTGAGTCACTCCTCTATACAGAGCAAATCTCTGATGGCATCATCACAACATTCTTTTACTTGACTTATCTCCTTTCCTCACAAGAGACAGTCTTTCCTGACATATGTTGCTTACAGGGCTGATTGGGAAAGGGGTTGGGTTTTTTTTTGGGGGGGGGGGTTGTTGAAAATTTCTTTTAATTTATGCCGGTGTTTAAGCAATTTAATTCTTGAAATAAGTTGTATGATGAATAATATTTTTGTTTTCTCATATAATGGAACATGTATAGAGGAAGGATTTTACAAAATTTTTGCTGTACTGAGCAGATATTGTTGTAACAAAAAAAAAAGAGGAACTATGTCTGACCCTGCTTTTCATGGAGACTCATAACTATAGAAGTTTCTAAGTCTTCTTTCAACAACAATCGACTGCTCAGTGTAATAGCGTCACGTATCACTCTTCAAAACAGCGTGGCAGAGTCTTACACTAAGGAGTCAAAATGTTGAGCAATTTTCTTTAGTAATTAAAAACCTTTACAATTTGTATGTACTGGTGTTGTCCAACAACTGACTTTGCTGCAAAAGTTCACTTTTATGCCTCCGGTATTTTTCTAAAGTTAAAAGCTCTCAGCGAACAGTGTGGTGTAGTAGATAGAGTGTTTACCTTGTGTGTGTTTGTATCTTCAGGTGGCCAGTTCCCCGACTCTCCCCTCCTGCTGGGTCTGCTCAAGGCCGGCACTGACCACCACAAGACACTCTGTGACAAGACACAGGAAAACCTGGACATCCGGTCCGAGAACCAGGTCATTAAGTCAGAGGTTGAAGTCATTAAGTCCGAGAACCAGGTCATTAAGTCAGAGGTGATAGCCAAGGACACAGAGATCCAGGTCATTAAGTCGGAGAACCAGGCCAAGGACACAGAGATCCAGGCCAACAAGAGAGAACTTCAGCGTCAGAGGTTTGAGCGTCACTGGCGTGAGCTGGCCATGAATCAGGTGAGCTATAACCTTTGACCTTTGCGACCTCACCCCATTGGTGTTACAAAATATATATCCATATTATTTGACCATCTCTCCTTTGACCTTTGTGTGACTGTGCTGTGTGTTGTGTCATAGATGGCAGTCCAGACTGTAGGCAAAGATTGGGATAAATAAGAACAGCCACATTCTGTGTTTCTCTATGCTAGGTGATCTCTCAGTGTTAACACATCTCTCTCTCCTTGCCAGTTACTCTGGTAGTGTTGATGAAAGTTCGAGGTTCAAATCTGAGTAAGTTATGGATTTTTCTCTTCCTTTTTGAAGCTTTCTTTTAGGACCAATGCACTGAAGTTGAAGTTCTGGGTGGTTTGTGGATGCTTTAGAGTGGTCTGCTACTTCTGCTTCCAAGTTGAGTGTTTTGTGAATTTTTCTCATCCTTTCTTGAAGCTTTCTTTTAGGACCAAAGACTTAAAATTAAAGTGATGGGTGGTTAGTGGGTGCTTTTGTGTGGTCTGCTCCTCCTACTTCTTGCCACTGTTATAATTGTGCCAGTCTGTTTTTGGCTTAAGGTGAGTGTTGTTGTACTGACTCACTGTAATCTGACACATGGAGTCAGGGGGAAGTACTCCTTCTGTGCAATAACCAAAGTGGTCTTGTGGGTGGTTGGAGGGTGCTACTGGTGGGTGGTAGGTCTTACTTCTTTTCATTGCCTCTGTTGTTTCTACCACTGTTTAATTATTCTTTTTTCTCTGCTCTAAATTAAATTATTGTGTTGATATGCTTCTCTTTAGTGAAAAAAAAAATGCTTAGTAGGTTGTTATAGTCCAAGAAAAATTGATGGAAAGATACAGAAATATTTCTCTGTATTGTTTTTCTCTCCTCTTTCTCCTATTATGAAGATGAATTCGTTGTTGATTGCCCATTTGGGGTTGTGTTTCAGAAGTGTGGTTTTTTTTTTGTGAAAAGAGAAACAGAAGAGTATAGGCAGATAGTTATAAAGAAAAATTATTCTGTATAGCTCAACATTTATCCCTTTTATATTGTTAAGCGGTGATCCCACCCAGTGATTAAGCCTTTATGTTTTAACATCTGTTTTAAACATATTATATAACCCTCACTTGGTCCACTCTTGCAAGGATCATTGTTGTGTAGTGCAGTATTCACTTATGCTTTCTGTTCATTTTAAGCTAGATTTTTATTCTTGCTGGGTTTTTTTGTTTGTTCTTATGATGGTTTCATTTAGGGGTTGATTTTTCTGTCTTTTTTGCAGTTATTTTTTTAATGTATGTGTTTTTTACATCTCCATTGATACAATTTAGATCATTTATGAGTCAGGCTTTCAACTCTGCCTGTCAAGTCCAGCCAGGGCTGAGAGGGATACAACATTCTAGCAAAATGTCCTCGACACTCGATAAAAATTTCCTTCCCACTCAGGAATCGAACTTGGGTCTCTTGCTTGCCACCACGAAGCACCTAATTGCTGCACTATAGACGCCGGCAGTCTGTCTGTACTTTTGTTAATATTATGTAATGAATGATAAGAGTAACAATAATAATAATCATAGAACTGGGCTGTTAGGAAGCGGTACTTTAGTTCGCAGGCAGCCAGAGCGCACCGCATCTTGTAATCTTACCTGGGTCGCTGGGTCATGAACTCGTGGCCAGGGGAATTCCGTGTGTCCCGCTGACAGCGTTGTTCATTTCAATTTTAAGACAATTAAACTTGCAAAATACACTGATCGGTGACTTTGCCATCATTTTATTTTGCCTGTTTGGAACAAGAGAGAACTTCTGCACTTACTGAGAAAGATGCGAAATTGTATGAAATAACGATAAATATATATAGCGTTCCAAAAATGGCTCATATTTTAACATTGCCCTTGGGGGGTGTAGATTTTAAAATTTTTCAAATTCACATAAAATACACCAGAAATGGTGAAATATCAAAACTCACTTTGTTGTTTTTGTGCCAAGTCCACGGTTTTGGAGAAGTGAAGAGTTGATTGCAGTATCACCTTTTTTTTCTTTGTCGGAGGCACGTTGGATAATAGTTCTGGATTTGGAATGAAGTGCTGAGATTGCATGACAGCTTTCAGCTGTTGTTCGATATTACGTATCCCAGCTCCTCTTCTCTCTAGCTTTGCCACAAAAGCATGGATAAGTTCACCACCCTTTTCCCCATGTAAAGCCAAACCAAACCCATGTCTGTATCCACGGGATGCAGTGGTTTTCTAGAATGTGGTGTTTGGGAAGTACTTTTTCACTAAAGTGTCTCCTGCATAGTGACATGTAAGTTTTGATGCATGTGTCAATGAGAGGTGGTCTGTCTTTTGACACTGGTTGGACGTGTGAGATGTGGATGTGAATACCCCTAAATGCGTTGTTTAATTGACTGAATTTTCTCCGAGAGTGTAAGCGGTGTCACTTATGTTTTGGCTGTCGGTATTTTCTACAATTTCTTTTACAATAAATGCAGTGAGGTCTTTATAAATACGACTCATGATGTATTTGTGGCAGTGATTGCCAATGAAAGAGCGGCTGTGATGTGCCTGTGGAGTGATGTTGTGTGAGTCTAGTATGGTGTCTAAATGAGAACAGATAGGGCCAGAACAGGGTTAAGGGGTTCATGCTCTAACTCAGACAACCTG